ATCATATCATTTACAAAAAGTGCTTTCGTAGAAAGGGACCTGATATTCAATAAGCCAAGCTTTATCATTTGTTTATCCATATTGCATCTGTTTTTTATTTGTTGAACATCAATTAAATTGTTACTCTTAATTTGGTTTGGACGTTTTTTGTATTTTCTAGTTCGGGGAACAGACACAATCTCTATAGTGTGATATCTAGGTGAAAGAGTCTCTATGTGCTGAGAATTAACTGATTTCTGTGACGTGAGGCGGCTAGCAGACGGTCGGTTTAGCCAGTCTGTCTGCTTCCTGACCTGGGCCCCAGTTAGTCAAGTACAAACTCTAAGACTATGTGCCATATTTCTAGAGAGAAGAGCGGCACCACCCCAGGAGGGATGAAGACCATCTCTTTTCAACAGGTCAGGTCTGCCCCAAAAACTCATCCAATTATCTGTGAAACCTATGTTATTCTGTGGGCACCACTTAGACATCCAGCCATTGAGTGACGACAGTCTGCTATTTATCTCGTCACCACGGTAAGCAGGGAGGGGACCAGGGCATATTACAGTGTCTGACATCGTACTTGCAAGTTCACACACCTCTTTAATGTTATTTTTAGTGATCTCCGACTGGCGAAGTCGAACATCATTAGCTCCGTTAGATAACAATCTTACTGAATTTACGTTTAGCATTAGCTAGCACTTTTAAATTTGCCAAGATGTCAGGCGCTCTGGCTCCCGGTAAACATTGGACTATGGTGGCTGGTGTCTCTATTTTCACGTTCCGTACAATAGAATCGCCAATAACTAGAGCACTTTGATCAGGTTTCTCAGTGGGTGTGTCACTGAGTGGGGAGAACCTGTTTAATGTTTTGATCGGAACGGTAGAGCGGTGTTTTGACCCGCGACTATGTCACCCAGTTGCCCTGCTGCGGAGGCATTGTAACCGGAACCGAACAATGTACAGGGCTCCCTGAGCTAGTCGCATCCAAAGCCGTATCTAGAGCCCTCACATTCTTACTGTCCTCAATTAAAGTTTGGATGCGTGTCTCTAATTCTGAAATCTTCTCTGTCAGCCTAACTATTTCCCTGCATTTATCACATGAGAATCCCTCGTCGCCGACAGAGAGAGATAAACTATACATGTGGCAAGCGGTGCAAACAATAATAGCAGGAGAAGAAGCCATTACTCACCGTGATTGATGAATGATTCTTACTTACCACAGTTGTTTGATGAACTTGTGAAAAAAAACCGGAGCGATAGAGAGAGAAAAAAAAAAAAACTTCGGTAAAGGGGTACAGAGCCAGTGGTGGTTTTTGTAGGCAAACATTAATGCCTTGAATTTTATGTGAGCAGCTATTGGTAGCCAGTGCAAATTGATAAACAGAGGTGTGACGTGCATTATTTTCGGCTTATTAAAAATTAATCTTGCTGCCGCGAAGCTGGAAGACCTGCCAAAAGAGCAGTACAATAGTCCAGCCTAGACAGGACAAGAGCTTGAACAAGGAGTTGTAAAGCATGTTCCGAAAGAAAGGGCCTGATCTTAATAATAATTAAAAATAAACATTGAAAAATATCAGCGATGGCTTGAAGAACACAGATAAACCATTTACTGTTGCAGTCGTGTGTTAATTCTCTTCACATTTCAACAGTCAAACATTTCTTTATCAGTTTATTCAGCTCAGAGATAGCTGGATGCCTTTGTGCATATAGGGGATTTCCTAGAAAGTCATTTTATTACTCCTATGAGTCTTGCTTGAGGCCTTTCTGTTCAAGGGCGCCCTCCGGTATCAGTTATGAACGTACCAAATTACATGCGAGTTTAGCGCTGTGTACTTTTAATTTTGAAATAGTTATCGTTAATACTGGTATATCACCACACCCCTAAATTAATACAATAACGATATTTCTTTTTTTTTTTTTCTTCTTTTTTTAATATCATGATTGTCGTCAGTATCGGTATACCATGACACCCATAGTTGGCACCATTTCTCAGTAGGGCTGGAATTATGACATTTTCACTTGGTAATGAAGATTAAAATTATTAAATAAATTACTGGTAATAATATTATATATAATATATAATATAATATTATATAATAATATAGCATTATAACATAATTGCAACTAATTATTTATATAAATGCTTAATGTTATGCTATTTGGCTTTTTTTTTTTTTTTTTAGTTTAAATAATGAGACTATTATAGCAGAACTATAGTAATAGTTAAAGATGTTAATAATATATAATCAAGCTTTGTTTCATAATTTAGAATGAGTTGGGGAAAAAATTCGTTATTAGGTTCATGACGCCACTGATTATTTTTATTATTGTGATATGAGACAAATGAAGAGCACTTTGTGTGTAGTGAGTGGTAGAGCATTCTTGTGAGTTAGTTTTCTCTCTCTCTCTCTCAATAAACTGGTAATAAACTGACGTGTTTGCAAAGCGGTCTAAAATTGATTTGCATTAGTTCGGACTGAACACAATTATTTTCTCAGACAGTATTTTCTAGACAGATTTTTTATTATATAAGGAGAAGAAGATATGAAAAAATCCTTAGCTGGTTCTTGCTGGTACCTGCTTGATCATAACCAGCATGACTTTCTTCTTGAATGTCTGTACCTTATAGTTATAACTGAGTAATCCCCAGAGCTTGTGTAGTAATCATTTAAAGATTTCTATGTGTGATGTACTGTTATTATCTTGCATGACAATTATGATTGCCTGTGGTGAATTTTGTATGCTTTGAATTATTTCTGGCATCTCATCTGTTGTAGTGTTAATTTTGTTAACGAAAACTATGACGAAAAATGTTCGTCAATTAGTTTTTTTCCCCTGACGAAAACGAGACGATGACGAGACGATAATAAGGTCATTAAACGATAACTGAGACTAAATTAACATAAACGGATACGTACTCTGCCCGGCTTTTTGCTTTATGCAGTCTGGGAACCATTCACATGCCCTCTGTCTGTGGATCTGAAAACACCGACATATAGTACTGTACAAGTACTGTAAGCTGGAGTTCAGCGATCTCCATTTGAGGTATTCTGCTTAAATGAAAGTGTCATTCAGCCAGTCTGTGTTCTGTCATGGATCTCGACTATTGTTTGCGATAGTGGTTGCAGATTGTAACGTTACTTACGCAACCTCTGTGCAGCAATAAGTCTTTTTGCCGTTGTTTTAAAAGAGAAACATTAATGTAGGCCTGTCGCAATAATCAATACATCGACTTATCGCACAATATATGTACGTGAACTCAATCATTTTTGGTGACGCAATATATTGCCCGTTATATTTACATAAAAATTAAAGTCATCATGTTTTTTGCATTCCACATGCGCCTGTGTCTTTTGCAGCTTCTAATATTTTGACTTAATTTCCATGATCTAAATATTCTTAAGAATTTAATTTTGTTGTCATTTGAAAGTGTTTAGGCCTTCTTGCTTCTATGCTGTTTGTCACGGTCAGCAACTGGAGTGCCCATGAGCTCCACCAGTGGGCACTCCATCCCTGACTTTTGCCATTCACCCTGGACTACATTCCCCATAATCCTTTGCCGGACTCATCATCTATTGCATCACCTGTCACTCATTAGATCTCATCATCAGTTCACAGCTGTCTCACATTAGAAGGACTTTAAAAGATGCACACACACTCGAACACTTCGCTGGTGATTGTTTAGCCTGTAATGATTCCTAGTTTCTGTGTTCCTGCCCGTGTTTCCTTGTTTTGCCTTGCCTTGCCTTTGTGTATTTTTGATCTTGGACTGTTTATCTGGTTTTTATGATTGTTTTGCGGCCTGCCCTGACCATTGCCTGTTTACGGATTACTCTTTGTCTTTGCCTGGGATATTATCATTTGCTGGTACTGGACCCTGCCTGTCTGACCACGTTTACGAATAAAGCCTGCATTTGGATCCTCAACTCCGTTGTCACGACGCCTCCTTCATTAAACTGTTATATTATGATTATATATGGCATAATATATAATGTGGCATAAAATGGTCTTAAAATGACAATAATATCGTTTATAGCATTTATTTTTGGGGTAATATATCGCACAACAAAAAGTTATCGTGACAGGCCTACATTAATGCAGTTTGGAATTACTATTAGGAATTAGTTATAACATTTGAGAGTAGGTTTTTGTTACACCAGTTTTCATAACGTAGACAGGGCGAGTGTATATCTGAAGTCTATGGTGTTTATAGCCTCTAATTTCCTTCTCTAATTTGAGAAGGAAAATGTTTTTTGTCTTAGATAGGGTTACATTAACTAGTAATTCAATCATAAGAGTAGCACATTGTACAAGACAAAATAATGACAGAGTTTAAGGGACCTATATTTTAGACTTTTTGGAGCCACATGGTTGGTCCTTACCTTTGATGTTACAGTTTGATTAATTAGTGACCCATGATCTAAATGGTGTCCTGCCACAAACCACATGAAGGCAAAACAGTATTAAGAACCAAAAAAGATGTGAACTTTTGTAAATAGAATGGTTGGTGTAAGCTCTTTGCAGAATTTATACATGTAAGAGATTTAAAAAATGAAATGTAATGAAAATATATATATATTTTTATATTTGGTACAGCCCTTCAGATGTTATATAAAATGTTTTCATCCCATAGTTGTCCCTCATCACAGCATGGTGATGGTGATGTGTCAGTAACATTAAACCCTATTGGTGCTTGCATCCTGACACATTACACACAAGAACCAATGAAGTTTGATGTAATTGACGTCATCATTTTTTATTTGTGCTTTGTATACACGAGTTGATTGAAAATTTGATTGGGTGTCAGGAGTCTCAAACACCAGTGTGCCCAAATAATTTAGACTGAACATGTAAGCAGTAATTATCGCCCTGCAGATCCCTGTAGGAATATTTTTTGGGTGTGGTTGGGTCACAGAATTGTTCTGTTATCTAAAATTCTTAACATATTGTTTTGACCTTCTATAGGGTTTAACAATTTGGCAGTACATTATAAAAAGGCAGGTGTTCTGTACTTTCAGGTTCCGTTCCAGACGAGAGACTCTACCGGATGTTCATCAATAACCAGGTGACCATGCTTCGGCCCAGGGAGGATGAAGATGGCTGGTTCAACTTGTTTGTCATCCATCAAAACAGGTTCAGGAACCCTACTGTTTTAAATTCAAATTTTCATCTTTACTACTAACTATTAAACTGTGTGGGCTTAAACTAATTTTTTCCTTCTGATTTCTTGATGTCTTTCCTTATGATTCCTTGATGAAAGTGTTGGTCATGTTTAGTTTCCATCTTTATACGTTTGCGCCAAATGTGGAATGTATTACCTAGAGATCCTCTTGATAAAAGTAATCAAATTATTTTTCAGATATATGCCAATGATTTTTTGGACAGTTGCTAAGTGATCTATATCTTCTAAACCAAGCTTGATGAAACTTGATTCAGAAAAACAACAGGTCTTTCTGAGAATGCAAACAATGACAATCTCTATTCATAGATGCTAGTCAATTTCAAGTCACTCATTATTTGTACACAATACACATTGTTTCAAAGCATCTGTACTCAAATTCAGGATGTTAAAGTCCCCATGATATCAAAATTAACGTTTTTTGGGTGTTAGTATCAATATGTTAGTCTTAAGCAGTGGTGGACGAAGTACACAAATCGAGTACTTGAGTAAAAGTACAGATACGTATAATAAAATATTACTCCAGTAAAAGTAAAAGTACTCCTTTTTCAATTTTACTCGAGTGAAAGTACAAAAGTACTAGATTTTTTATGTACTTAAGTAAAAAAGTACTGATAGATTTATTTTGCAATTTTATATAGTCTACTTAATTTAATTTTATATTAGCACATATTTTTTATAATCCTACTGCTCAAAATACCTGGGATTTTCCCAAAATAACCACTATATGGAGTCAAGATATATTTTTGTTGTTGATATGGACTACGTTGACGAGAGTGATGTAGTAATGTTCACTATGAAGCTTACACTGCGATGTACCTGAGAGAAAACAGATTTGACCATCTGATTTTCACCAGTAAGAAAAAAGTGTTTTAAAGCTTGTTGTTTTGCAGAAGTGTTAGTATCAATATGTTAGTCTTAAGGTTATCTATAAGGCAGTGTGCTCCAAAACAGTGACAAAATTCGCTTTTAGAAGATATAAGCATTCAAAGCTTTTAGTTCGTCACTTCCGCCAAAACGGCTCAACGATTTTTTTGACGTCACATCATACTTCATCTTCTCATCAAATCTTCTGACCAATCAAACGCTCTCTAGAAGCCGAAGCGCCCGCCCCCTACACTAGTTTTGTTCTTGTACTTGTTCACAGTGTAGTATTTCCTGTACAGTGAATGGCGCATAGTGCACAATGTAGGCGATAGGGAACGATTCAGATAGTGTAAATATGTTTTCGATTGAGGCAAATGAGGTCTGGTTTCACGGTGTGTCACGCGAAACGCACAGTCTGATCCGGACTTTGGCTCCGGTCCAGAGACGTGAAATTACGTCACCACATAGAATAATGCTGCATGTTTCAAGGCACTTCAGGGGACCTTTCATTTTTGTAAAACCTTAATGACTAGAGCCGGGTGTACACTGTGCGATTTTTGCTGTCGTACGAGCTTGTACGTGATTTAAAAAAAAACAATTTCCCATTGGGAGAAATCGTTGATGCTCATATGGTCGTGGCTTGCATCGTGTGAGAGGAATTTACGAGCCGAGCGCCTCACAAGTTCCCCATAATTTTTAAACATGCTTAAAAAATTTGGGGAGTCGGCCCAATTTTGACCAGATTACCAAATCATATACAACCACATCACATATGCTAGATCTGTGTTTATTATTATAGCTCAGTGGCTACTAGGAGACCCCTTATTGTGCGGATATACCAACACGCACACAAATCTCTCTAGTTGTTTTTTGTTGAAAGGAATGACTATGCTGTTTTCTGCTGAATGTGCTCCACTGAAGATGCTTCTGAAATGAGTGAGGGTGCTCTAGCATTAATGCACATCTATTTTCACATAGCCTATATTTTGTGCAGTTCATTGCTATGGCGCAAAGAGTGCTCCCTTTATAATCACTAAAAAGCTGTCACTCATCTTAGTTGATCGCGATCTCACAAAGCTCCATTATAATCAATGAAGCTCTCTATACTTCACAAAGAATCTTTTTACATCGTGTCTACACTTTGTACTAATGAGATGATTCGCAAGCAAGCAGAATTCAGCACTGGACAAAACTCCAGTTTCTTGAGCGGTGAGTGGATTCTAACATGAATGGCCATTGCATTCAAGAAATCAACAGATATGTCAGTGATTGGCTACATTGCTCACCACTGCAAAAACACGTTGTAAAGAGAAACTGCAATTCACCAAATAATTTGCACACTCATCTTTTCTTTCTTTTTCTATCCGAAGCAATATAGCAGAAACATTGAAAAGCTCCATATCTCTTGTGTTTAGCACGAAAACTCATGCGATTGCTGCCGGCTCGCAGGGCAGTACGGTCGTGTCGTGTACTAACTGCTTTGACACAATTATCGGGTTAACTGACTCGTAATGTGTGCAATGGCTCACGACCTCCCGAGCTGTAACTTCAAATATAGATGTGCATATAAAGATAATATATCGTTTATGTTCAGATAAAATAAAGCAATGTGTGCAGTCTCTTTAAGAAAAAAAAAAAATCTAAAAATTTATTTTATATTGTCTATTTTTTGCAGGAGTAAGCACGGGGCGACTAACTACATCCCTGAACAGTTTTTGGATGATTTCCTGGATTTGGTGGTGTGGGGTCATGAGCATGAGTGTAAAATTGCTCCAGTCCGTAACGAACAGCAGCTCTTCTATGTCACACAACCTGGCAGCTCCGTCATCACCTCGCTGTCACCAGGAGAAGCGGTCAAAAAGTTAGTGTGCCTGCGCTTATATATCATATGTATGCATACACAGTTCCACTAGGGATACACTGATCATGACTTTCATGGCCAATTCCAATTGCCAGTTTTTATTATTATTACTATTATTTTATTTTATTTTATTTATTTAGTCATTTAGCAGACGCTTTTATCCGTATAATAATGATTCTAACATAACACTAAGCCAAACACCAAAAAAAAAAAAACTACATATATGTGTATGTACAACCACACACATACACATTTATATATATATATATATGCATTTATAGTGAAACAAGTAGTAGGAAAGAGGAGAAATAAAAAGCGATACTTATCCTTTGCCGGTAGAGTCGATGGTCTTTACACTCTTCGGTCTTCACACAACGGCTGCCGGAACGACAACTGCACTAAACACTAATGAGACAAGTAAATACACTTACGAGCTGCTTTTAACTTCCGCTGATAAAGACTGCTTCTCTCAAAGAGTATTTCTTTACACTGTTTTCTGCTGGCGCTTGAACACACTTTCCTTATTTTTTCCACAACAAATGGCCAAGCAAGCGCAGACACTTACAAGATACGCTATACAGAACGAGACCAAACGCGATATCAGCACGTCTCCACACATTAAACAAATAATATTATTATTTTATTTGATTATTATTATTTATTTTTTAACAAATGGGCCGATTTTCAATACCGGTTGCCTTTTTTTTTTACTTTATTCTTTTTTTTTTTTAAGCTTATTCTTTTTTTTTTTTTAGCTTTTTTGTTTGTTTGTTTGTTTATTAAAAAACATATCTGTAGCCATTTGAAATTACTGCCAACCACTGCATTTTAATCAAAATCCAAACAAAGATGCTGCACACATTTAGCTGAGCAGCAGTTTTTTATTTAAGTTTGTGTAATGTCAAGGTTTAAAGCAAAAACAGAATGGTCTGTTTTGTGAAATTGTACTACATAAAACATAGCTGTACACAAAGCAGTGCTGTGCTTTAAACACTATAGGCATTATACGTAGTTAAGACAAAAAAAAACATCAAAACTTTTCTGAAGAAAGACCCTTCAGTTCCCTTCAGTGGTACAGTCATATAAACCCCACTCCCAATTAAATTTTTTGAATTTTCTTTGAATATTTCGACCATCGCTAACAGTGAGCTTGCTTTGCCTGGTGCTGTATTTTCTTTACTCTGCTCTTTGCGTCCGTCTTCAATGTATCCTGTCTCTGGCCTCTGTAATGTTCTGTTAACAGACTTCGTATTATTTCCACACAAATTACATTTTAGCAAATGTTTGTTATGCACTTTGTGTGCAAATCCGGAACCAGTTCCAATTTATGGCTGGTCATATTTAATTTCCTCTGCTATTGAATGATTCTGAATAGTCAGTTGGAGCATAGCATATATTTCCTAATATTCACTGTTGTCCATGGTAATATTGAATATCAGATCAGTTAACCTGAAACTGGCTTTAATTTCATTTCTCAGTTATCGTTTGTAGTGAAAATGCCCTCAAAAGACATTAGTATTAGGGATGTAACGATTAACCGCGAGCCGGTTGAAAATCGATTAAAATATGTGACTATTCAAATCGGTTGAGATGCTAAACAAATCGCGATTTATTTAGGGGTAGGGGTTTATATGAATGCATGTCTGAGGGGAAGTTACTGTCTTTAGAAAAGTTTAGATGTTGTTTTTTCTTTTCATCTGGCCTTGGTATAAAGCATATTAAAGTTCATAAGTGCAGTGCTGCTTTGTTTACAGCGGAAACCAAGGAAACGCTTTAAGCGCCACCTGCTGGCAGAGAGTGAATCTGCATCTCATTCAGCTCGTCCGCTGTTTTCATACAGATATTTTTAATTTATTTGAATGAATTATAGCATTTATTTGAATTAATTATTGATCAATCTATCGAGAGAGAGGTAGAGAGAGATGACAGTTGTGCGTCTCTCTCTACAAACAATGAAGCTGTTTAGTTACTTCGATTTTACCTCGTTGCTGAGGAAGATAATGTAGCGATCTAGTATCTGTGTTTCTGTAATAAGTTTCAATAAGTTTCTGTGTGCGTGCAGTGCAATCTGCAATCTCCGACCTCTCTCACTGTGTTTTTGTGCGAGTGGTGTGTGTGTGTGTGTGTGTGCGCATCAATTAAAACAGCGCATTAATATAGAACGGTGATTAAACTGACTTGGAACTACCTGTGCATTAAACGGTTTTAATGCATACTTGCCAGCCAATCAGAATCGAGTATTCAGACAGACCATGGAATAAATAAAAATTAAGAACAGAGCATTTACTTTTAAACAAAAAATCTGTTTTATTCTAGCTTCAAGCATTCTTTTTTTTATCAACATTTTAATGTTGGTAAGATTTATAAAAAAATCAACATTTTTAGCAAAAAGCTGAGAAAATCAAGTTTTTATCAGATACTACATCTGGATCATATTCAGTAGGATTATCAAAGCAAAGATGCAGTAGATCGCTTCCATCAACACCCCCAAAGCTTGCACAGTCCTTTGTCACTTCCTGGATCGAAATTTCACTCGGTAACATTAGGCAGTTTTCATTTATATGCTGTTTATTTTAGATGATTGCATTGTTTTTCATATGCATATGCATACATGCGAGATCGCTCGTTTCTGCGTCTTCCTCGCATGTGTTTTTGATCGGGAGATTCTAGACTCATTCAGGAGATGCGTAATAGCGCCCCCGAGCGTATAACAGCGAGAATGCTGAAACCCAGGAAATTCCGTGTTTGGCAGGGAAAGAGTTAAGCACTGAACACATATACAATCTTTTCCAGAAAATCACCAGCATTTTAACATTTAGAGATAATTTCTGAACAGGACCTGTTAAGAAATAACAGTAAATATGTTCTGGTAAAGAGTGGTACATACCACAAAGTGCGGTAACATTACCGTTTAATAGTCATTAATCGACATTACAGAATTTACAAATATTTAGTTGCTGATGTGTGAATAGCACAGTATCTTATTTATTTATTTATTTTATGAAGTAAAGAAAAAAATCAAGAATTTGAGAGGCTTGAAACCTATTCAAAATAAAGATAAATGTTTCTGGATTAAGTGTGGATGATACTAACAAAACTATTTTCCGCAAGGTTTTTTTCAAGGTACATTTAAGTGTCTTTCAGAAAAAGGATTACCAAATTATATAATCCATATAATACAGAATGTGCACACCAAAACGTACATGAAAAACATTACAGATTGTAATTTTCTGTTGTACAAAAAAGTTTTGTCAAGTTATGTTTATTACAGACCTTATTTTACTCATGAATTGAAGAACCTCATTATAAATACCCATAGGAAAATCTTGAGGGAACCAGTGACAAATTAGTCTGAAGGTTTTGACACCACGGCTGCAGCACTCTAGACCCGCCTCCTGTCTGCAATCTATCTATTGCCCAACTGCCTTCTACTGGCCAGCCGCCACTGCTTATAGGAATGTGAATATATTTGCACCAGCTGTGCAATTTGGCACTCCAGTCAAGTTCATCTTTGTAAAACGGATATCATTGGCTATGTGTTATTTACGATAAAACATGGCTATGACCGCATCATCGAATAGATCACTATCTTTAATATTTGTATTGTAACCATTTTATAAAAGAAACAAGGTACTCAAGGCGTGTTATATTATGAATACAGTCATGGCTGAAGGGTCAGTCTCCACTTTGCCCTTCAACTTTGACTGTATTCCCTACCCACCTTTCCAGAGAAGGGCTGTGCCTTTACAGTTTATGCTCAGATTCTCTGCTAACAACAAACAAAATATCTGTTTGTTTTTGATTATCATCTCTATTGGGGTCATGCTTACATGCAGTTCTTCATCATCATTAAAGTTTATTATTTGGATGCGTTTTAAAAGCCTTGTCAGTTTAAAATTCTGATATACGTTTTTCTGAACACACATACGAAGCTCTTGCACAGAAAGCCAGCTGTCACAGCATGTTGCAAGTACTAAGAAACTATTTTCTAGCAGAGCAGTCCACACTGGGAGTGAATGCTTCTGCTCACCACTGGCCGAGAGAGTGCAAATATGTTTCCCCCAGTGAACATCCTGCACCAAGTGTTGTGCAAAATCAGGGAAGAGAAGGAGTCAGTGCTGTTGGTTGCGCCAAAATGGCCTACCACACACTTAACCCGTTAAACCCACCAGGGCTGTGCACAGTGGGGTGGCCCGGTGGCTAGAGCCACTGCCCCTTTGCCCTCATTGGCTGAGTTGCTCCTCTCACCACCCCCCACCCTCACCCCAGCTCAAAGCGTTCTGTTACCGCTTCGCTAAAGATCCGCTGATTCCGCGAATCCGCACCGTGTTTTCCCGCCCGCTCCGCAGCATCACTCACAATCTGTGTGCCGCTCTCTGGAGTGGAGACCACAGTTCCCGAAGCTCGTTCATTAACAGGTAGATGCATTACAATCCACATTACGGTCAGTGGATGATTCGCTTTTTTTAATGGTATATCAAAAAGTGTATATTTTTTAAATGTGATTGTTGGTACATTTTACCAGTTTTTACCATACTTTCAAAACAAAAATTAAAATAGGAAAAATATGCAATATGAAAATAATTGAAGACAAAATGTGTTTTACTGAGAAAAAAACAAGATTTGGTTTTTAAAAAGCCTTTTTCCAAAAGGTACATCTGGAAAAAGGGGGGGGGTCGTCTTATAATCAGGGTCGTCTTATATTCGGGCCAATACGGTATCTATGACAAAGGGTTCTAAAAATATGGCTTCTAATAATAAAAAAAAGTGTTCCCATGGCTCAGTTTGACCCGAGTCGAGTCAGTGGGTAAGATGTACCATCTGGGTGTAAATTTACCATCTGGCCAAATCTGATTCAAACCCATGTGAAATAAATAACAATTTAAAAACTAATGTAGTAATTTCCTTTTTCAAACATATTTCAGACATATTTATTTTCATAAAGTTAACTTTAACATAAAAGCAACCAAATGAAGTTTAAATTTCAGTATTTATTTGTTTGCAATATTGTTGAAACAATATGTTGAACACCAAAGTTGTAGTCTTCCTAAAAACAGACTAAACGGAGAGTTTGTTGGTCATTAGTGACTACAGGTGGAAAGATATATCTGATTATAATGTGATGAAAAGCATTTTCTGGTTCTTATCAGAGAAGGATTTGGTGCACTTGTACACTGTCCCTATCAAATAAACTACAAATAATGTATATATGATCAACTAAACCAGTAAAATCACATTAAAACACCAGTTTATAATTCAGAAATTTAACTTAACTACAGTGCCTTATGGTGGGTTAAGTTAAAATGCTGACTTAATTTACCCCACAACATTTGGCTCACTTTGCCCCATAGCTGCCATTTTGGAAAAAAATAGCTACTGTAGCTAACCAGTTCAGGCTAATATTTAGCAAAATGATTTGCATGGTTTTATATGTTGCTAAATCACCTCTATGTATCAAATATTTTTAGGCAATGGATAAATTTGCTTTGATGTAACAACCATTACATCTGTTATGCTAAAATTTTACTTTGACAAGCCAAAAACAGTTTTTAAAGTAAATGGGTGCCTTCCATTCCCCCCATGTGTTTCTCCTTTTCACAGTCTGGCAGAAATTATGGGTGGTTCCAAAATACATGGTCACATGACTGTAAAAGTGTACAGTTGCCAAGAAACAAGGGGTGGGTAAACTTACCCACTGTCTCAACTTACCCCACTCTCCCCTACTTCCATTGAAGATGAGGCAGAAGCAGCCTCAGAGAGTGAGGGAGAGCCCATTCTTATCAAAACATCTACAATAAAGTCTGAAATTATTACAGAGTGTGCTGTCTTCTCTTTTAATTGTATATTTGTATCAACTGGATCATTTGTATTAACAAGCACCCACCCCCCTAGTGCCCCTTTTTTGGTTTGGGCCACTGCCCCTCAAAATGTCTGTGCATGGCCCTGAAACCCACGGACACCGACCCCCCCACTCCTCACGAAAAAATCTAATTACTAAGCAACCACCTAATGGAATAACACAAAATGGGTATCATTTTAAAGCTTGGAAACTCAGCTTCTTGTTGAATGTAATTATTTTAATCATCTCTTAATGAGTGCTGAGTAGTCCCTCTAAAATCTTTATTTAGAGCAGATTCTCCTGATTAAAAAGAGCCCAAACGCACTATAATCTATCATTTATATCTAAAGATATTCCTCATTAATTTATAACACACATAATACAGAGGTGACATGTAGCCTAGCAAAAAACTCTAGCTTTCATGTGCCATTTTCACTCGTAACTTCATGAAACATGCATAGATATTGAAAAATGCCACAACATTATTTTGAGAAAATACTCCAGATTAAAAAGAGTCCAAACTCACCATAATCCATTGATGAGATCCAAAGATATTCCTCATAGAGCTATAACACATAAAACCAGACAGGCGCAAGTGAGGCGCAGCAAAAAAAAAAAAAAAAAAAACTGTACCTTTCACGTGGCATTTTCATTCGTAACTTCATGAAACATGCTGATCAACACAAAATAGGTGTCATTTGAAAGCTTAGAGTCTGAACTTTACAATGCATGTGGCCACTTTGATTAACTCTTAAGTAGTGCTGTTATTTGCTGATTTAAAAAAAAATGTTTTCATAATTTATATGAAATTATAAAGTCATGTCATATGTCATTTGAAAGGTCTCAGGAAAGAGTAGAATAAAACAAGCATAATTGTTTGGGTTTGACTAAACTTGAACGAGGCATTACTTCTGTGTATGTCACTCAGAAAACAACAATTTCAAAACTGTCAAGGGCTAAGAAAAAGGCTACCTTGGTTCCAAATGCCGTAACTCTTGATTACTTCATGGTATCACAACAATTAATTTCACAATTTAATTCACTTACAGCTGACACGTGGGAGAATTTTTTTCCTACCTTATTTCTTTCCTGAGATATTGAATGTCAAATAAGAAAGATATGAAAAATTTCCCTTGAGCAAACTAAATTTTCTGACGTTTTATCACCTATTTCTCAGCATGAGAATGTCCAAATGTAAAGAATTTTCCCCCCTAAAAATAAAGAAAGATTTCTATCAAATGATACCTACCTTTTGACTCTCCTTCCTACAGTTTTGGAGTTATGAGTCGTTTTTGTGTATGCCACTCAGAAAACAAAAGATTTTAAAATGCCTTCAGGGTGTCAAGGGCTAAACAAAAAGGCTTATTTTGTTCCAAAATGCTGTAACTTTTGATTACTTCCTGATATCACCACAAAATGTAATTCACCTACAGCTCACATGTTGGGGAATATCACCAAAAAATAATTTTCCCCTACCTTAATTCTTTCCTCAGATATTCAGTGTCAAATAAGACAGATATGTACATTTTCCCTTGAGTACACAAATTTTTCTTGCATTATTATCAGCTATTTCTCAGCAGGAGAATGTCCAAATGTAAAGAATTGTTTTTTTCTTCCTAAAACTACAGAAAGTTTCCTATCAAACGATACCTACGGTACCTTTTGACTCCTTGCTACAGTTTTGGAGTTATGAGTCATTATTTTTGTGCATGTCACTCAGAAAAAAACAACACCTTCAGGGAGGCAAAAATGCCTTCAGGGCTTAAAGGGTTAAAGCAACAAGAAGTCACAGCATGCAGCGCTTCACATTGTAAAGTTCAAAGCACAAAGTGAAGAGATTTTGATGAGTAGTGTATCATATCAATGCAACAGTTTATTGAACCTTTTTTTAAATAATTTTAAATTTCAGTTACTGTGCACGTGAAGAACAATTCTTTATCTGTTGTGGTCTAACAGACACCCAATAGCTAATAATATCATTTAGAAACAGCAGTAAACTCCAGCAAGACCATAGACCTATATCTACTAATAAAGTGTAAAAATGGTAACATTGAATGATCTCGTCATATACACATTCCCCATAGTGTCAGCTAGCTGTACGCAAAGTCGAGAGACCATTTCGAAAGGAAATGTCTCTAGTTACTGAATGTAAACTTGGTTCCCTGAGAGGGGAACAAGACTATACATTCATGCCATGTTGCTTTTGCTCAGGTCTTTCATAAGCTCTCGTATTTGGTAGAAAGATTCTGAGGTATGTTGCTCAGCACTGTTTATATAGGGCACGTTCCCACCCCCTTTTTGTGTGCCTGAGTGCCATTGGCCATTGCGATGAGCAAATAAGGCTTCAGTATTTTGAGAGAAAGTGAAAGTATCAGCTAGCTGTATTTAACGTCTCGTTCCCCTCTCAGGGATCCAATTTTATGTTCAGTGACCGGAGAAGATACTTGACATTCATCCCTTTTCTTGAAAAATGGTTTAAAGGCTGAAATGTGAAGTTTATCATTTTATAAAACATTTTGTATTTGTGAAAATCTGTATCTGAACTGTAAATCATGTTTTTGTTTTTTTATAGTAATTTTATGATTTCATATGTTATCCTGTCTACACCTTGTTGAATCCAGTGTAGACAGCTTCTAGCTGTTGTGGCCGGACACAACTGTGACTGTGTAAATACAGTGTTAATCTCTATTGTTTTGTTGCTCAAGTAATCCTGTGTTATTTGCTCACCTCCTACTACAATTGTGAGGCAATAATGTAGAAGTAGGCATTGATCTTCTACATGGATGGTGTTTCATCACACTGACATCATACTGAGACCAATATAAATTTAACCATTTTGGCAGCTTGGTTTCAATAAAGGCTGTTTTTATACTAAGGAAGTTTTGAGTTCTGACACTTACAGGATGTTTTTATAGCATAAAATTTGATTTCTCAATTCATGGCTCCTTTTTAATGGTGTTTTATTGTTTCTTTGTAGAGCTTGACAGAATTAATGAATGAATGCCTTAAAATGTATTTTAATGTGTAAGTTTAAGGATAATGGAATAATGTTTTGTTGTTGTTTTGTATCTGGGTATTCCACAGGCACATTGGGTTATTGAGAGTGAAAGGTAAAAAAATGAATCTTCAGAAAATTCCTCTACAGACCATCAGGCAGTTCTTCATTCAGGATGTGACACTCTCAGAGCACCCTGACCTTTTCAGACCAGAGCAACCCAATGTCATGCTCAAAGTCATGGCTTTCTGCCAGGAGAAGGTACAGATGCATACAGACATGTAATGCAATTAAACATGCTAGATGTTATTAAGAACTGGTAATGACTGGACAAATTAAGTTACTCAAGACAAACTTTTATGCTTTCTTGACAAAGCATAAAACTTTATCATCAGGACATCAGAAGATGTCCTTGTTCTGGCTGGTTGCTAGGGGTTTTCCGCTGATAGGTAGGATTTTATGTCAGGTTACTAGTGCACTGATCACTTAGAAATTTTCATATTTTAGAAGCAGTTACTACTAATTTCATCAATCCTATTGGTCTATGGATTAAATATGTTATAAAAATATTTAACTATATTTTAACACTTTGGAGCAGAATCACTTTTGCAGATTTGCCTCCTTTGGACCAAAAAAACCCCAACTTTTTAGATTGAACAAGAAACAAAAATCAACAGTTTTATCTACAGAACTCAAGAAGTGGGAAATTCAAAGCAAGTGGCAATCAGAATGAATGCTTATTCTGCATGAAATGGAAATTGCAGTTTTCTTTTCTTGTGACGTTAATCTGAGTGAAAAGGCTTCTCAAACGAGGTAAAATATAGGGCGGGACCAATGTCCATCAGGAATTGATTGGCTCATTGTGGTTTGCTGATTGCTGCAGTTTAATGTGAATGACAGGTTGCTGAAAAGTATGAGCTAGTACATGTTGATTAGATGTTGGTGAGTTACTGCGGTACGTAGTAAGAGTAGACTACTGTTTTGATGGAGTTGGTAAAATCATTCATTGAGGTATAATGATTGTAAAGGTTCAGGAAAAAGTTCACACAGGAATAACTGGACATTCCTATTTTGTTCCTTCGTTCTTTTAGGTTGAAGAGATGCTTGAAGAGGCAGAGAGACAGAGACTTGGAAATCCTCTAACTCCTGAGAAACCTCTCATCAGACTACGAGTGTGTACACCTCTCTTTGCCTGGATTTACTATTTGTTTCTCATTTGAAGAAATACTGGGTGAAATACAACTAATACATCTTTCTCTTTCATGTGCCTCTCTCTCCCCAGGTAGATTATAGTGGGGGTTTTGAAGTTTTTAACACTATGCGCTTTAGTCAGAAATTTGTAGATCAAGTGGCAAATCCCAAAGACATCCTGCATTTCATCAGACACAGAGAGTCCAAAGACAACATTAAAGGCAAGTCACACACATCTACTTAAGCAATAAAGCATGAGAGGCTTTAATATTATCAATATTGTTACGCGCATTGAGCTCCTTCAGCTGAGTATTTTCACAGTACATATAGCACAGCCTCAAGTGTCTTTTTGTTTTTATAAAATGGTTGGTGCTTAACATTAAGAATACAGTTTTTCATTAATACTTTAAAGCAAATTACTAAATGCCACCTTTCCATTAGAAGATACTGTATTTTCCTGACATTTAAATAAGATGAATAGTTTATCTCTATTGGGACTACACAGTAATATGCACAGTAACTACAGTGGCAAGAAATCCACTGTAATTGGTAGGGGTGGGGGAAAAAATCGATACAGCATAGTATCGCGATATAAAGCAAAGTCCGCTCAAATAACGCGCTGACAGGAAATTTCTATGCAGTATAGGCCTACTTGTTCCGGTTTGCAGTAGCGCTACTGTGCTGTAACATGGTGTAGGCTAGTTCAAATGTACTGGGAAACGCTGGTAAAATGATGCTACCTTCAGTGACACTATCCGTTTTGGCCCAGAATTTTCATTTCGGTGCATCCCTAGATGTAAGACTAAATGTTTTATTTTATTTTATTTAAATTTTACAGTAATTTACTTTAAAATGCCCCAATTGATGAAGGGTCTGCAAAACTTTTTAGTGCAATTTCAAGTTGCACTGTTCAAAATACCTGTAGTAGCACAGCAGTGCATACCTGTTTACATTTAATTAAGGTGGACTAGATTAGACTGTAATACAAATAGCTGAGTTTGCCAGGTGCATACAACATTTATGACAGGTATTCATGAAAGTGTTGGTCAGTTTGTCTGCTTGACAATTCCATTTTGCACTGCAACAATAAAACTGAAGTGAGATAAACAAACTGAGAAATGTTTCTTTTTAGCAGATGTTGTCAAAGTTTTCCTTTGGGGACATAATTTGAAGTTGGTAATAAGTAGGTAATAAATTGCAATATGTCGCAGAATATCGCAATATATTTAAAATCACAATAATATTGTATCCGTGACACAAGTATCGTGCTAATATCGTATCGTGAGGCCTCTGGTGATTCCCACCCCTAGTAATTGGTTTGTTTTCTGTATTTATTTATTTATTCTGTTATGTTTCACTTTTTTTTTTATTAAGTTAATGAGTCCTTGTTTGTTCTGAGCAGTGAAACTATCCACTCTTCTTCTGAAAAACCCTCCAGGTCCTGTACATTCTTTTCATTTTTTGCATATTTGAACCTTTTACAACAGGGTAAACGTACTCGGTTACTAACGTAACGTCAGTTCCCTGAGATACGGGAACGAGTACTGCGTCTTGCTTAAGACACTATGGGGAAAACTCCTTTTTCTCCGAATACCGATGCTTTTCAATAACACAGTGTAACTGCACAGCCATTGGTTCATGCAGTGTATTAAAAACAAACTAATGGCTCTGCAGCGGAGCTGCACGAGCCTGTGGCGACACAGCCCGCCAGA